TCCCCACAGGGTCGCCGCCGTCGACAAGTCTTCCAGAAGACCCTGCACGCGACGAAATCCGAGATCCAGGGCCTGGGCATCGAGATGAACCAGAGATACACGGCACCTCACGCGGCAGTGTACACGGACGACGAGGAGTTCCAATCCCCACCGGCGTTCGCCAAAGACCCCATCCGCCACCACGAGCCGTCGACGTACCCCGGGTGTCGCGTCCCGCACGCGTGGCTGACGACGCTCGTGCCGGGGAAGAAGATCTCCACAATCGACCTGTGCGGCAAAGGCCGATTCACGATCTTCACCGGCATCGGCGGACGAGAGGCGTGGCGCGGCGCGGCGGAACGAGTTCGGCGGGAGCTGAAGACGCCCATCGACGTCTTTGCCATCGGCCACAGACAGGACTTTGAGGACGTCTATATGGACTGGGCCCAGCTCAGAGGGGTGGATGAGGACGGGGCCGTGCTCGTCAGGCCAGACCGGTTCGTCGCGTGGAGGAGCCAGAACGTCCCGGACGATTGTGGCGATAGATTGGTCACGGTGTTGCACCGTGTTTTGCGTCTTTAGATATCGTCGGTATTGGTGGAATACAATACAATACAATACAATATAACAGGAAAGGATGGAGCTAAACTTTTCTTGTTTCCCGCTTGTTTACCATTTGTGCCGACGGGAAGGAGGCTGCTTCACATGGCTAACACGTCTCGATGGAGGTGACCAATATACGCTGTACTCGGGACCATAAACTCTACACTCTACACTCCATACTTAGTACACTGCTTCCTGCTTCCTTCCCGAGTACTCAATACACTGGGGCCGCCCCAACCTGTCGCTACAAATCGCTCCTAGTTAGAACTATCAAGAAGTAGTAGTATAGTACCACATCAGGAAAAGAACTCGAACAGGCTGGGTTGGGTTGTACAAGTAAATGTACTTGTACTTGTAATCGTATCTACATCTCTATGGCACTGTCGTTCGATACCCAGATAGCTACTTACACAAGATAGTCCTTGGCAGGAACACGCACGGGTGCAGGTGGGAAAGGTCTACGAGGACAAGGACAAGTATCGCCGTGTCCGTGTTACGGGTACCGGACTACGACCTCCCTACCTACCTGCTTACCTACCTTGGTAGATAGGTAGGTAGATAGGTAGGTAGGTAATTAAGTGGACATGCGACTAGGTCTTTTTCTGATCGTGGATGGTTCTTCCAAGGACTCGGTAGAGGTCGCTAAATTACTCTGTCTGTGTAGGAACTACCGTATGTGGTATCGTCATGTGGGGAGACGTGGATGTTCACATTTTCGCATAGTTACCCATGTAATATCAACCTATGCCCTGTGCCTATGCCTGGATGAGGTAGCAGGGACCCGACCCGTACCATGTATACCATGTATGTATGGATGTGATACTAGACATAAAACACACACACACACACACGGCTGCTGACTGCTCGCTACCAAGTGGGGAGGCTGAAACTGAGTACCCAGGCCGCCCGGGCAGGTAATACACAAGTACCGAGTAAGCCTCACGAACTCGGGAGTGGTCCCGTCTACCCAGTGATCGTGTTCGTTACCCGATATCGTACCTCGAACAACGGCAGTGGACTTGGTGGTCTCTCTAATCAAACTTGTTTCCTTTTTTGACCCGTCATCTGTCGCCGCTTCACCATGGCAGATTATGGGGCTTGAGCTAGCTTTGCGCCTCGACGGAGGGGCCTACGTAAGGCGACCGGTAGAGGCAGCTGACATGACCTATGTGTGGCTTGATGCGAGAGATTTGACGACAGTGCAAAAGAGGCGTGATAGACCAAGTGACCACAGTGGATGTCCTCCATCCTTGCTCGGCAGATATCCTTGCTGCCCTCCAACCTCTAAACTCGCCGAACCAAGTGCATGAAGATGAAGTATTGGGTTCGTTGTATGGCGATAGGTCGATTAACATCCCTCAGAGGGAGAGAATGCGCCAGGACTCTCCTTTCACAACTTGAGCAGGCGCATGACATGGTCGTGAAAGTCCTGCATGCAAGTGTATCCACGCTCCCAGCACTTGGTGATGACCGGGCCCAAGGCCATGCCCTCTACAGACCTGAGGTCTGCGGGCTCCGGCCATCGTTGGTCTGAGAAGTAATCGTAATCAAAGACCTCCCACTTCTCGATAGAGTACAGGACACAGCCAATACCAATCATGTCGATCCAAAGGTCGTGCTGCGGCGGAGGGCACCCCCCGGGGTAGACGATGGCTTGGGTGAAGTCGCCGACCTTGGGCATCGCGCGGTGGACGAGGACGTTGTCCGTGTTGATGTCCTGGATCAGCACGTGGCGCGTGTAGATGTACAGCCACGTCGTTGACAGGAGTCGAATCATTTCGAAGCGGTGAGCGTCGCTGGGTCTGGGTTGGGTCGTGATGTAGCCGCACAGATCGCCGCCGTCTGCATATTCTAGCTTGAGCGCTCCTGTCTCCTCGTCTGGGCAGCCGTAGAATCTCAAGATTCCCTCGTGGGGTCCGAGAAGCTCATAGATGCGTCTCTCATTGTCGACGAGTCCGCGAAAGTGCCGATTCCCGGAGAGGTCTCCTGGATAAGATTTGGGTCGTTTGAGGACGAGACTTTGACCGTCGAGCTGGTAGACATCTGCGGCGTAGCCAGACGCCAAGTATCGACCCGCGGGTGGTACTATATATGACCCATCGATAGATGAAAATAAAGCCATGGTGAAGCTAGTAAGAGACGCAAGCTCATAGGAATGGTGGTTTGTGAAGTTGAGAAAGGGGGTGACAATTATTTTTCAGGAGATTGCTCCTGAAAGAATTCGAAACGCGACAGTGATTCGCGTGATCATGTGATACAGGGGGTAGCCTTGTGTAACCTCACGGAGAGATTGCAGGTATCAAGGGTGAAGAACAGCGTGGCAAGAGAGGCTGACAGTCGCTACATCGCCTTGGAAGCACTGCCAGTTACGTCTGGAGTGTGATATAAGTAGTCGATGGATGGCTAGACAACCACAAAACCAAGTAAGAAACATACCTGTTTACCATCTATAACGTGTTCAGGTAGGTCTCTTGCGAGTCTGTGGGGATGTCCCTATCATGTCGTACAGTCAGTCAGTCACATTGGCAAGCCAACTGACCAACCAGAGATTCAATTATGAGGCCATTCACGACACAAAGTTGTCCCGCAACCCGGCAAGCCCTCCACTCATATAAATGAGTGTCAGTGTGGCCAGAAATGAGCATCCAGCCAGGAAAACTACTCGAGTAAGCAGGGCAGCGACACTGCGCTTCTCTCTGCCCAAGGTCAACGCGAGGTTGTGTTTGTGCTTAAAGAAGCCTCTTTTCCTCTCAGACAATGTGGATGTCAAACCAGATCATGTCGGCGCCGTCCAACTTCTAAGCTGCCACCCTGGTGACCGATGTGCTCGCAGCAGAGCCTGAGCTGCCGCCACCGACTCCTCCGTCGTCTTTTTGTGTACCTAGGGGTGGTTTTTTCCGGCAGGTGGGACAGAGATTTCTGGAAAAGGAGCCGCGACTCATTGCCTTTGATGTTGTGGTTTTTGTGGCACATTCACGGCCGCTATGGCGCGCCGACTCGCAGGGGTAGGTTTTAGGCTCGGCTATGTCTTTTCCCGTGTGCCCACAGCCAAATCTGCCCTCCACCGGCATTTCAATCTGGCACATGCTGTCGGTGTGAGCTACAGCTGAGGTATCAGTATAATCATACTCAAATGCAACAAGATAGGAAGGCAAAATACAGTGTGGATGGACTAGGCTTTTGAGCTTTGCTGGATGTTTGAGAGATCAACCAAGCGATGGAAAGGTGAAACAGGTCTGCCACATCTTTCGCAGAGGGGGGTCAATGGGTGTGACGATAACATATAGACTTAGGCGGAAACAGCATCTGGCGTGGTTCCATTGCTGGTGTCGCACAAACCAACGCACGATGACAGGGGCTAGGAGGTGCTGCGCTGATGGTTGTATGCCATTGCTCCGACAGATGCAGCATCACGCGCCCGGTTGTGGTACATTCACAATCAGCTCTCACCCTCTGGCACCACTGGCATTCGAAGGAAGGGTCAGCAGGACGATCGAGCAAGCCTTTCATTCAGAGACAACGCATCGTTATTGACTTGGCTTCTGCGACATGTATAATGCTTGCATCGAGATCAGTATCGTGGCGTTCTTCCACTGGGATGTCTTCGTTCTTGGGCGTTTGAGGGTGAGGATGAGGCTGAGGTTGTGAGCGTGCCGAGATGCGCAGACTGTTGCCCCGTTGCAAGCTTCCATTTCGCCCTCTCTGCAGCGTATACGAATGGAGACGAGAGCCGCCTGTATGATATTCGACACAGCTCTACAAGAAGCACGAGCCTGACACGACAATATTTTCGGTGGTTCGTTGAATGTTCTTTTTGACTCGAATACTAGGTATTCGCATTATCTTGGCGCTTAGTCATGAGATTTTGAAAGCTAATCCCAAGAAGACTTAGCGTCATCGTGAGTAAAGCAGCATTGGCCGCATTCCCCAAATAGCAAGTCGAAAGACGCGGCCAGCTCGCCGACCCGGGTTTTTACGTGGCTCAACCCGCAATACGAGGTGCGAGCGAGGGGGGCATCTGGGGTCGCTAGGCATCCCTGGGGTATCTGGAGCTGGGGAGCCGGGGGGTTACCAGAAATGGAGTTTGCGACCCCCCGGCTCATGTGTGGGGGGTGGGTTCATCACCCCGACCTTCGAACAAGTCGGGCCGGGGGAGGTCCTTATGGGCGTGTGTGTATACTCGGGTACGTTGGTTAAGAACTTTCTATTATTTGGTAGATGGGGGGTGGGTGCTCAGAAGCAATTCACGGCGTGGTTGTAAGTAAGTAAGTAAAGCTCTTTGTTCTTGTTTTGTGGTCCTGCTTGTGAGCGAGCAGCTCTCTCAAGGTCACTTGTCTCTTTGTCTCCACGAGAACGATATCGACAATAGACATTTACAAGAAAGGCCAAGAAAATATCAAGGCCACAGGTTCGCAATAATGTTGGTCGACACAATCATCAACGCGGTTACATCCTCTCTCCATCCCGTGGCGGCCGTTCTCGCACTGCCTCTGGCTCTGGTTCTCCTCGAGGTAGCATGGATCATCTACGCCCGGAACTTCCATCCCCTGGCCGACGTGCCGGGACCGTGGCTCGCCTCCGTGAGTCGTCTGTGGGTGATGCGGCGGCTCAAAGTCGGGGACATGGACCAAGTCCAGCGCGACCTCCATCGCAGGTACGGACCGCTGGTTCGGATTGCGCCCAACGAGATCGCCTGCTCCGACCCCGAGGCCATCAAGGTTTTGTATAGGACGGCCGCGCCGCTGACCAAGACCGATTTCTATCCGGTCTGGGGAAACCCGCGCATGTCCAAATATGCAGACAACTTCTCCCAGGTCAACGAGAGACTGCACTCAGAGCGGCGGAGGATTGTCAACCACGTGTACAGCTTGTCCAACGTCCTGCAATCCGAAGCTTCCATCGACAGAGTCACGACAGTCATGGTGGAGAAGCTCACCCAGCTGGCTCAACGTGGGCAGGACTGTGACTTGGGCACCTGGATCCAGTGGTAAGTCCAACTCCAAACACGGTATCTGTGAGTCTCCGGCCAACACGTGTGGGACAGGTATACATTTGATGTCATCGGAGAACTCTTCTTTGGACGCATGTTTGGCTTCCTCCAGCAGGCCGCCGACTATCAGGCATGGATCGCTTCGTTGGACGCTCTTATGCCCGGCTTCTGTCAAGTCGCCGTCGCGCCCACGTATCTCCGACCGTTTATCCTCCTGTCTTCGCTGTTCGACTCGAAGATGAATGCAGCCATCAAATGCACGCAGACGATGGAGGTTGCAGCCCGAGAAGGCGTTGCACGAAGGCAGGCAGAGCTCGACCAGGGTTCCTCGACCTCCGACAGCCGGGACTTGCTGCAGCAACTCTTCAACATCCAGCGAGAAAAGGGCGAGAAGATGGATTTCTCCATGAGAGAGGTCGAGCAAGAAGCATACATTGCACTGTGAGTATTCCAGCCCTTATCTTTACTGCACATTGTGACTGGGCAGACTGGCTGGCTCCGACACCACGGCGATTGCCATCCGTTCCATTTTCTACCACATCGTCAAAGACCCGAAAGTCTACCAACGACTCCGCGCCGAGATTGACCAGGCCAATGCCGAAGGCGAGCTGTCTTTCCCGGTCAAGCACGCGCAGGCACTGAAACTCCCCTACCTGTGCGCGTGCATCAAAGAAGGCATGCGCATGCACCCCAGTGTGGGCCTGACCTTGCCGCGATTGATGCCCGCCGGCGGCTTACAGATTTGCGGCAAATACGTGCCTGAAGGGTATCGGGTTGGTGTCAACGCTGCTGTCATTCATTTCGACAAGAGAATCTTTGGCGACGACGCCCACCAGTTCCGACCGGAGCGTTGGCTCGACCCGGCCGCTGCTGCCAACATGGACAGATATATGTTCCAGTTCGGCTACGGCACCAGGACGTGTATAGGCAAGAATGTGAGTACTCGTCTCCCCTGATCTCTACGACGTACCTTTGAAGATGCCGAAAGAAAGACTCAAGTTGATCTCTCTCCCCCCAGATCTCTTTGGCAGAAATGCACAAACTTGTCCCTACCGTGCTCACCAAGTTGGATGTGGAATGGCGGGATGAGGGGAAAAACTGGTCTACCAAAAATCATTGGTTCGTTAAGCAGACTGGCATCAATGTCCGGCTGAAGTTGCGATCTTGATGGTCTGATGGCACAGAACCTTTTTGAAGGGAGCACGATACTCTGAAAGTCTCTCCCAGCGGGAAGAGACGTCATTAAAAACAACTCTGCAACTGCGAGCCATGCAGAGGGACACTGGGAGAAGCTTCTGGCATTTGTTCTTGCCACAGATCCGTCCAGGCGTTAGGTAGGATGTGACAGGAATGAACATTTGTAGAAGACGTCTCGGTAATTGAGGAAAGGCTTGCTTGTCATCATCACAGTCGTCAAAGTAAACCTAGCCATGGAGAAATCCGACTAAGAATGTACCGCAGTTGAGTCACTGTTGGCGGCTGGGTGATAAATTGATGAGCGAGGGTGGTGTTGTTCGCTCCAGTGATGTTAGCCCCGTGGAAGCCCCTGAGCCTCCAGGGTCCTGGTTTCGAGGGTCGCAAGACTCAGCGCGGCTTTATTCCGAGGCGGCATCATCTCGGCCGCGGGACTGATTGTGTTTCGCGACATAGCCGAGTTATCAACCCTTGGGTTCGTTGGGACTTTCCTCACCGCACATCGTACAGCATACAGCTGAGGCTTAGTGCAGACGGACGGACGGACGGTGGCATGCGGCAAGCCTGCGGAAGACTGTTGGTTGTAGGCTGTGAGGGAGAAATTGGTGCTACGGGCGTCCAGGAGATCATCCATAACCGTGTTCGAGTTGCCGAGTTTGCGGGAACGGAGAAAGAAGCGTGCCAGTTCAGTGTCTGATTGACTGAGTGATTGATTGCAAGTACAGGCGAGATCTCGCAGGCAGGAGTCATGGACCGAATGATGATAGGGAGAATATCAAGAGTCGCCATCCGTCGTGGGAGTTTGGCGACAAGGTCGAACCCTAGAGCTGGATGTCAATGCTTGCGAATGTCGACCAGGACACAGCTACCACCACGAAGTCAGGCTAAGAGCCTGTCTGCATCAGTCCACGGACGAGGATACAGTACACAACTCCCCAGAAAGTCCAGTCCAGATGCGATAGTTCAGACCTTCAAAAGCAGCAAGTCGATGGGGGCGACAGCGGCGGTCGCATTCCTCGCAGGCATAGCTACCGTCGGTCTGCTTGCGTCGTATGGAGGCGAGGTTCATGCCGAAGCTCCTCACAGCACCCAAACGCTGGCCACAAGGACGGCATCAACCCTCCCGCTCTCATCGGTGCAGCCCCTCCAATATGATCTGTCGGAGAAGAACCTGCACGAGGCGTACCAAGAATTTGTGGCTCTGTTGGGCGAGGAAAATGTGACTCTCAACGCAGGAGAGCGGCGCACGCGCTCAAGCACCGAGTGGTCGCCAGCGCCTCGCGCGGACGACATCCCATCCATGATCGTCTACCCGCGACACACCCAAGACGTGAGCCAAATCGCCCGGATCTGCCACGGGCGAAGAATCCCCATGATCGGCTTCTGCGGCGGGACGAGTCTCGAGGGCACCCTGGCCGCGCAGCACCAGGAGGTGTGCATCGACTTCAACCGCCACATGAACCGGGTGCTCGAGATCCGCAAGGGTGACATGGACGTCACGGTCCAGCCGTCGGTCGCGTACCAGGAGCTCAACGCGCTGCTGGCCCAGCAGGACATGTTCTTCCCCCCGGATCCCGGGCCGGGCGCCCAGATCGGCGGCATGATCGCGCAGGGCTGCTCGGGCACCAACGCGTACCGGTACGGGACGATGAAAGACTGGGTGCTGGGCCTGGAAGTCGTACTTGCAGACGGGACCATCATCCAGACCAGACATCGGCCACGCAAGTCCAGCTCGGGCTATGACTTGACTAGACTCTTCACAGGCTCCGAAGGCACCCTCGGGTTCGTGACCAAGGCGCACCTCAAGCTCACCAAGAAACCCGAGAACGTGCGGGTGGCCGTGGCCCAGTTCGCGAGCATCGACGACGCGGTCAAGATGGCCGTGCACACAGTCCAGAGCGGCAACCAGCTGGAGGCGATGGAGCTGCTGGACGATCTCAGCATGCACGCCGTGAACGAGGGTGGCTACTGTTCGGTGCGGTGGGCAGAAAAACCGACCCTGTTTCTGAAGATCAGCGGGTCGACGCCACAAGTCGTTGCGCAGCTGGCCCGACAGGTGGAAGAGACGGCGAGGGAGAGTGGCGCATCACTCTTCAAACTAGCAGCCACCGACGAAGAAGGTCAAGAGCTATGGGAGGCGCGAAAGACGGCCCTGTGGTCGACGCTGGCGCTCAAGAAGTCGCCCGACGACAAGTTCATCAGCGCCGACGCCTGCGTCCCGATTTCGAGGCTGGGAGACATTATTCGCGAGAGCCGGGAGAGGTTGACAGAGTCGAAGATGCTCGGATCGTTTCTTGGACATGTTGGCGACGGTGAGTGTTTTTATTTTTATCCCGTTGCGTAGACTGTCTCTTTCTCTTTCACCTTTCTCTCCCCTCTCCTCTCTTTTCTTCCCCTGTTTCCTCCCTCTCCCCTCCATCTGCCCCTCTGTCCTTCTGTCCCTCTAGATCTTGTCCTGACGCGCTCTGACATGACAAAGGCAACTTCCACGCCACGGTCCTCTACAACGCGCAAGAAAAGGCCCAGGCGCGCCAACTCATCTCCGACATCCAGCGCCTGAGCGTCGACATGGACGGCACCGTCTCGGGCGAACACGGCATCGGGCTCGAGTACCGCGACCAGGTGGTCTACGAGCTTGGCGAGGCGTCGGTCGACGCCATGCGGGCCATCAAGTTCGCGCTCGATCCGCTGTGTTTGTTGAATCCGGGTAAGATGATTCGTGTGGAAAAAGGCACATACGGAGGAGGAGGAGAAGGACAAAAGAGGTGATCAAAAGCACAACAAGAGGTGAATCTGTGTCCGGTAGACGTCGGCTGGACGAGGTATATGGTGCAAGGTGTAGAGCTCAAGAGGCTGGGTAATGGTGCTGCGTTATGTCGATACTACACTTCAGTTTGATATGCCATTTGTAGATTGTATATCCCAAGATACCTCTTTCAATTTACTACGTGGGTATACTAAGCATATATCTGGGAGCATTTTTACTCCTTTCCTTCTTCCACTACACGGCGCTTGTCAAGGTGCGTATGTAGCAAGCCCAAGTTCACAACCACCATCACACGAACCCTCCATTAGGGCTGTATGCCACTAAGCAATCCAGAACCAGAACCTCTCGAGGAAATTCCGCGGCTTCACCTCAGGCCAGGTTCCCTCCAAACGATCCGCCTCAGCCTTGCCACTCCAGAGATCCATCTCGCTCAGCCGGACAAACCGAGTCCGTTTCACCAGCTTGTACCCGAGAAACAGGGACGCGAAGATGGGGATGTCGATGTACGGCGGGACGAAGCTCTTTGCGCTGAAACGACCTGGGAAGAAGGCGTCGAAGCCGTTGAAGATGGCCACGATGGTGCAGAAGCAGACGGCAAAATAGGCCAGGAACGGCTGCAGGGGCGACTTATACGGCAGGGTATCACGCGAAATGCCGTTGTGGCGGAGGCCCTAGTGGAAGCGGATGTAGGTGATGCAGACGCTTGCCCAGACGATCAGGGTGCTGACGGCCGAGAGGTTCGAGATCCAGAAGAAGACGTCGGCCGACCGGGAAGAGACGTTCAAGTAGACCAGGAGGGATAGCAGGGCTGTGGCCGCCACGCAGCCGTAAGGGACGCCAAACTTCTCGAAACGCAGAAATGCCGGCGCACGGCCGTCCAGTGCCGTAGCGTAGAGGATGCGGGTCGAGGCGTAGAAGAACGAGTTCCCCGCCGACCATGCTGAGGACAGGATGACGGCGTTGATGATAGAGGGCAGCGCTGAGATACCGCCATTGGTGATGGCGATGACGAACGGACTCGCCGCCGCGCCAGGAGCAGAGCTGCTGATGGCGTTCAACAACCGCGGGTCCTTGGCCGAGACACACATGCTGACCAGGAAGATGGCCAGCACGTAAAAGATGGCGATGCGCCAAAACACGCGGCGGACGGCCTTTGGCACGTTTCTACGAGGATTCTCGCACTCCCCAGCGGCCACCACCACCATTTCGCTGCCCCCGTAGCTGAATGTGGCATTGATAAAGACCTTCCAGAACGCAAGGAACCGGCCTAGGGCTCCCGTCTCGAGGTATTCCAGCATCGGGCCCGGGTCGTCCCAATAGCGAAATCCGATCCTGTCGTGGTTTGGCGCGCCACCCAGGCTGATGATGAACATGAGCAGGAGCAAGCCCACGATCGTGGTGAGTTTGATAGCGCCAAAGACGAATTCCGCCTCGCCGTATATGCGCACAGGGAAGCAGTTGACGGTGACCATGGGTATGAATAAGATGGTGATCCACACGGCATTAGAGACGGCGTTGGGCCAATATCCTATCACCACGGCGGCAGCCGAGATTTCAATAGGCACGCCGATGGCGAACTGGTACCAGTAGTTCCAACCGAGCGTGAATCCCAACGCATCGTCGACGAACCGAGCCGCGTAGACAGGCACCGCACCCGGAAGGGGCAGGTAGGCAGCCATCTCGCCGAGACTGTTGATGACCGCGTAGAGGTTGAAGCCGGTAATGATGTAGGCCAGGAATGTGGACAGCGGTCCAGCGAGACTGAGTGCTTGACCACTGCCGACGAAAAGACCTGTACCAATGGCGCCGGAGAGGGCAAGGAACTGAATATGGCGCGACTTGAGTCTCCGTTCCAGAGTGCCGACGTTCTTCTGCTCATGCTCAGCGTTTTTCAGATCGTCAATGTCGTCCTTTTCATCGTGCTGTCTCTCCGTTTGCTGCGTTTCGACGATGGCGGCTTCAGTCAGCTTCCCAGCCTCCATGTCCTTGGGTTCGTGTGCCATCGTGTGCGGTCTCGTCGAGTTAGTTGCACATCTAGCTTTTCGTCCCTCGAGGTAGGCGATGGAAACACCCTGCAGAGCAGTCCATGATGTGTAGTATGGTAGACCATCTCACCATTGAAGGAGGAGGCACGGACATGAGCGTCTTCATGGTAAGTCGTGCCATTTAGGCGGATACTACCTTGACCAAAGTGGACGTGACCATGTCGATCCATGCATGTACAAAGGACGAGATTGGTTGTAGAGGTGGAAGGAGGATCGTGGAGACAAGACACAATGTATCATGGTTCGGCAGTCTCTCAGATTCGGTGTCATTTGCACCGACGCGGCTGATAGACACGGAGGGGAGGGTGGCCTTGTTACGGAGATTCTCAAGACACCCCCATGGCTTTATACACCGCTGCAATATAAGCCCTGGCCTTGTCCGAGCCCAGTCCAACATTTTCCATCTTGTTCATGACGTACGAAATGGTCAGCTTGCGGTCCAGGTCCATCACCGCCATCGAACCACCGTATCCGCCCCAGGTACATACTTTTCCCGTAGGCAGCCAGTCAATCCAGGTACCTTTGGTTGGTAGAGCGAAACCAATGCCCCAGCGGATGGGTGCTCCAAAGGCAAGCACGTGGTCCATCCCATTTGACTGTTCTTGGAAGATGAGGTCGATGGTCTCTGGGGATATAAACTGTTTGCCGTCGACCTGGCCATTCATAGAGATGACGGATAAGATGCGGTTGACCCCATGGGCGTTGCTGTGCCCGTTCCCCGCCCCGATTTCTGCTTTTCTGAACGGCTCACTGTTTGCAAACTCGGCTCTCATGGCCGGGTTGGTCATGACTCGAAACCCGATCGAGGCAGGGTCGGAGGCAGGGGGTCCTGCTGGTGGCGGCGGGATGACATTCGACCTGCGGGTTTCGTCTCTACCTGAACATCCCAGCTGGAAATCAGCACCGAGGGAAGCGGCAATATCTTCGGCGATGAATTGTTTGAGTGATTTCCCTGTTACTCGCCGGACAATCTCGGCGACCAAGTAGCCTTGGGTGAATGAATGATAGCCAGAAGCCGTACCAGGTACCCACCACGGTGCCTGCTCAGCCAACAGTGCGGTGACTTTGGCTGAGTCGCAAATGTCCTCCACGGTCAAAGGAGTGTCGAAGCCAGCCACGCCAGAAGTGTGAGAGAGGACGTGGCGGATCTCAATGTCTTGCTTCCCATTCGCCGCAAACTCTGGCCAGTACTTGGCTACTTTGTCATTCACGCCGAGCAAACCTCGATCGACAAGGATGAGGACAGCTAGAGCGGCGACCGTTTTGGTGGTTGAGAAGAGGTTGGTGATGGTATCCTTTTCCCACGGCCGCTTTTGGTCCTGGTCGGCGTAGCCACCCCAGATATTAACCACATCTTTTCCGTCCCAATTGACGGCCAGAGATGCTCCCAGCTCTTCGCCCGAGTCAATGTATCTCTGCAGCAGGTCTTGGACCTCGCGAAACTTCTCATCGCAATGTCCTTGGACGGCGGGCATGGTGGCAAGTGTATCTTCCCGTTCTGACTAGGAGCGGAGAGGCAGGCGGTAAAAAGGTGTAGATTCGCAGGACGGCGAGAGGTGGTTTTGTAGGGACCATGACGACTCGTTGTGGGAGGCCCCATCTCAGGTGAGTTGATGGGGTCATTTGTACGGGCAGACGGGGTAGCTTGAGCTGTTCTCTCATGTGGGACTGGGAGATCTATCAGCCCAAGGCCTCGATCGCGGGGTAGAAGGTAAAGGTCAAGTAGAGCGAGCGGCAGAAAGACCCCTGACACATTAAATGTGTACAAAAAGACACACACATTTACGTACGCGGGTTTCCACTCGAGATATATCGAGGACGTTATCTATCAATGGCAGGCTAGACAGAGCCAACATTCACTTCGAGAATGGCACTCCCCAGCCTAGGTTACCTTGACCACCTGATCAGTCCTATTCCGGTGGGACGATATAGAGTAGCAGGACAATGGTAATTGAGCAGCGTCATGTTCGCTGGTGCGCCCGCGCCCCTATCATTCCCTCGACTTGGGCCTATCAATCTCCGTCCATCTGGGAATGCGACACGTCTCGCACTTTTCCAACGCCGGCATACTATCCGGGTTGATGTGGAGCCAAACCTCGCCTTCGCCCGATCTCTGCAGTTTCTCCCAGTAACGCCTCCTCGCGCCGGGGGTCAGCCGTTTGCGCGCCTCGTGCTGGACCCGCAGCCGCACCGCCGTCCATTTCTGGTGCGGCCGGTGCTCGGTCGGCAGCTCATCCAGAGAGGGGAGGTCCAGAAACTTCTTCGGACTCATCCGCCTCAGGAAGGGTTGCTCGCAGTGCACTTCCTTGGGCATGACGCGGGATAGGAACTCGAGAGACGCGTCGATGTTGACATCAATGGCACGGACGGGGTCGATGGTCGTCTTCATCAGGTAGCTGGCCAGGTGCGGGTACAGGATGCAAAAGTCCGATTGGGAGATGTGCACGGTCCCACGGACGGTCATTAGCCACGCTGGGTGGCCCGTCTCCAGGGCCTCCGTGATCACTGCCTTTGCCACGTCGAAGTTGTCAGGCCAGTACATGAATGCCTCGGAGTTGATCCCCAGAAGCGGAACGCGAATGCGGCTCTCCCGCTCCTCGGAAGTAGGGCGCACCGGCATCCCCCAGATATCGTAGATGATTCCCTGAGTGATGTATTTGTATCTGTGTTTCTGTCGCAGGACCTCCACCGTCGTCGTCGCTCCAAACGAGTGCCCTACCATGGTGACGGCCTCGGTGAAGAATCGATCTTTCCAGGATGACCAGTCAATGCCGTCCAGACCGACTCTTGAGGCACCAATCGCGGGCTTGACCCTCAGGTTCCTCGCAGCAACTTTGTCACCATCACCGGCACAGATCTCTTGCATAACCTGATAGGCTTCGTCAATCTCCGCCAGCCGCAGATCAATTTGAGCGTTGCGTAGTTCATGGTCTACCTGGTGGCCGGGAGTGGTGTCGTACTTGTCGGTTTTCGCAAAGATGAAGTCAACCGTATCGTAGGACCTCTTGGTATTCTTTTCCTTGTGCTCCACATTTCCGTTGACTTCTGTACAATGCCGACTTCCTGGTCCGTGGTCGGAGTGATTGATGTGAGTTCTCGGCCCGCTTCCATCCCGATGCTCGAGCGCGACTACCACAAAGCCATGACTTGCAAATTCTCCACAGACGGAAGAGTAGCACGTCCTCGTCCCTCCCAGCCCATGGCTGAAGATGATGAGAGGAAACTTGGGCTTTTCTGGGCCTTGATCAGGTGGTTTCCCTTCGATATCCACCGCCTTTCGGCTACCTGTCGACGCTTCTCCGGGTGGAGGCCAATGCTCCGCCAGTCTTGCATTTTTATAGGCCGGGATCTTCGTATACCACGTTGTACAGAAGAAGAAGGCCATCATCAGGTGCTCTGGAAGCGCAGCGAAACGTCCATATCCGCGGCTCGTCTGATCTCTTGGTCGAGTCAGCCATGTCGGACGAAACCTTTGCATTGCGGTTGGAGTATCGACATTGTACTTGACATTGAGATGGGCGGGATAATAGATTGTCATCAACACCGTCTCGAGAGCAAGCGCGGGAACACCATGGCGCTTGATGTTCGAGAAGGTCCTAGGGCTCTTAGCAGGCACTTCGATGTCGATTATGCCAACCTCATAGGGGCCAGCGTAATGCGGGAGTTTGCCATAGAAGGGAACCTTATCCCTCACACCCTTTGGCGGTCTTGCCTTGGGCTTCTGTTTGTGAGGAACTCCCTGGGGTCTCGTCTTATGATGCCTTGGATGGCCGAGAACAAAGTCCGGAAAGATGGACTCAGCAGGCATCACGGCGGGGATACACGGCACTCGTTGTTTTGGACCTGGTCGATCTCTGTCATGTCGGGGTTGTCACTGCTTCACATTGAGGCGGAGATGGGTAGGTCATAAGCGTCTTTTGCAGGACTGAGATGGAGAGTTTCCAGTGTCTCGCATCCTGGCTGCAACAAACACATGTGCGAGATGCTGCTGAATAAGTCGAAGCGATTGAGGAGGTGAAGCATTGACGGGAAACTCGGAGCCAATGACATCACGGTCGGGGAAATCATGCCTGGCACGTGCTGTGGCTATACTGTCCCAAAGAGGAAACAGTTGTCGCGTCCAAAGCAACAATCAGCCGTTATATAATATACATGCGTTTTGGGTAACAGCGGGGGCCAATGCATCTGTGCTGACAAGGCATTTCATAGCCGCCGGACCCTCCCTTGTTTCTCCCCCGGACTTGAAGGGCTCTGACTTGGCTCGCTTGAAGCGTTGGAGCCACTCCCATGAACGAAACTCGGTTGACACCCATACCCTCAAGATCTAGCTGCCTCGTGTTGCAAAACACTAGCCCTGCAGTGGGTTGGGGTCTCAGCCGGTAAACCATGATTAAAGCCATATGGCCTGCCGTAGAACGTATAGGAGTGCTCCTTACCGCCTAACTGCCCGCTATCCAACCTATGGCAAGGGAGGGGCGCGATTCCAAGGGTCCCGAGGTTGAGCACCAGCAACTTTCCAGAGATATGTCAGGATGGGACTGACGGCGCCTTTCGCACCAAGAAATTGTGGCTTTGATGTTGATATGTAACCCCAATCTCAAATGTGCTGTGAATGGTCTCCATGAACATCTCGGATCCAGAAAACCGTCTCGGTTCTCGGTACCGAAGCTTCGACAGACATGGCGAGCATAACCGAAGGCTTCCTGTTGAACATGGCAGCCATGTCTTCAGAGAATCGCAAGTGGACCATTGAATTGGAGTAACTCTACAGCTGGAGTGACTGAGTTGGCCAATCCCTGGCGAGTCATCAGTCAGGTGTAGGGCGTGATTGAGATATTTGAGCAGGCCAATATGTGCTTCCAAGCGTCGAAGACTGGGTGGAGATATCCTCTAGCCCTATGAGTGAGCTCTCGAGATTTTTGCGAGCCGCCTGGACAGACTTGGAAGTCTGGGGTAGC